GTGAATAAGGAACAATTAAATAGCAGGATTATATTTGTGCGTTGTCGCTATTTTTCTGCGCATCGTTTTGGCTCAGCAAATGGTGTTTATTGTCGGTGCGAATTCATCTTGTATAACAACAACAGTATGAACAAGATATGAAACGAAGAGGCTGAAAAACATTCTTATTTCTTACTTTGAGGCGTAATAATGATTTTTGAAGTAATTCCTGCGATAAAACTGGCATCGAACATCGGCGTCACCTTAAAAGACAACAAGAATTCAAAAAGATGAATTCTATACAAGGTTTTGATAAATGTTCCGAATAATGCTCTACTTGGGCAGTTCAAGTTTGTGTAGGCAGTTGTGGTCTCGTAGGATCTAACGAACAAGGATTAAGCTCCCTTTAATGAAATTAGGGAACGAGAAATCTTAAATCAACGAAAATAATATCTCAAAGTATAGCGTATTGGTTCCTTACCTCTACTTCCAGATCGTCACCGGGGATTAGGCCATGGATGATAAAAGACATCTTCCCCTAATAAGGAGTTAAAATGGCAAATTATTCTTCATACTCATATTTCACACCCTGTACGCATTTTTGGGATTTAAATGGCTTACTGATGTACTAAGCGATCCATAACGCCGTGGTCCTTCATGGCCATAACCGTTTGTTTCTTTACTCTTCCCCTATTTTTTGGCTGAAATGCTGGATTTTTCAGTATACAGGTTAACGGAATACTTAACATTAAACACAATTTTCCAGACTTATCAAGTAAAAATGATTCAAATTTAGCGATATTAGGCAACTGCAAATCATTGTTAACGATTGTGTCATTCCGTTTGACAAGCTCTGTATATCAGGAGCCTCTTGTCGAGATGATACGAACCTTTAATTTTTCATCCAAAGTTTTAGGAAATCTCAGTTTACGGTAGCTAAGTTAAATTATCATTTCAGATGATAAAACCAAATAATTTTGTATTGTTCCACCGACGCATAACTACAGTTTGTTTGTCCGTTTCTTTCATCTTCTAGGTTAGTTTGCCTTACGTTTTTAGGTCTTACCCCATCAATCTGGAGGTCGAACGTCTTTTCTCTGTCCGGATTCCCTCTTCGTCTGTATATTATGTCGTATTTTGTTACGTTACTTTCATCGAAAAGCGGTTTTTGCCATTCAATCACCACAGTACTTAAGTTAAACGAGTTGTAGGTCAAGTTACGAACGTTTACTGTGTTTTTATCGGGCGCTAAAATGAAATTTAAAAAAAACTGTTAGCTTCGATTGTAATGAACGCCATCTGGGATCTGTGACATTCATTAAGAAGGGTATAGACTGCAGAGCAGTTGTAATTAGGGCGAGCGAGTGATCAGATTTTCTTAGCGAAAAATGGCCGCCATCTTGGATTTTTATGGCAGCGGAAGGCTGGAGAGAGAAAGTAATTTACACCAAGGGGGTGATTCTGCTCTGACTCCAAATCAAATATGGCGTTCGGATAAACGATCAAGAGCCTACAACGTCAACTCGCTCTCATTAGGCGCCTGCACTGTAGGCTAAGAAAGGTAAGGGGAGAATTTGTCCAGCATTATGCCCGGAAATGGCGTTTTCCGACCGTTCAGTCAGTATTTTGCTAAGAGTTTTATTTCTGCCTGAAGTTTCTGTCAATTCTGACTGACAGGTTGACTAACTCAACAAGCAAAGGAAACAAATAGCACACTATTATACTTACTTGGGGCCGTTTTCGAGAATCTTGCCTTTTTCCCCTTGACGTTGGGATTGGAAAACATAGCTTTGACCTTCGAAATCAAAAACACACGAAGAACATGTGAAATATGGTCAATTTCTGTGACAATTCCGGATGATGTGTCAGAGATTACTCACCATAAAACCTCCCCCAGAAGTCCCGAGAAAATGACAGTTTCCCCGTATATCCGACTGAAAACACTCATTTTTTGTCCATGAAGAATGTCTCGTATCCTAACTTTTGAGTTTGTTGTGAATATCTGATTTTAGCTTGCACTTATGCGAACTATTTTACTGCTCATAGTTATGTCGTTTCCTTCAGTTTGCATGTAAATTTTAATACTTAAGCTCACGAGCACTTCTAAAAGTTGAAATCAAACTCCATTAGCTTGAAATCTTGGATTGATGACACCACCATTCGAGCAATTGGCTCCAGAAAACTTTCTCTTGAAAGCTATTTAATGCGCTCTAGCATTTTTCCTTTTTTACTGAAGAAGAAACCTGAACATGAAATCCAAAAACCAGGAAAAATATTTGGTTTTAAACGAAAATCACAAATCTAGCTTACCTTTGTTCAAATCTAGCTTACCTTTACCGTTAAAAATTCTTCAGGTCTTATACCCGATAGAAGTATCCTCGGCTTATCCTGCATGCAAATAAGTAGAAATGGTACGTTAGAAAGGTTCCTTTCATGAAAGAAATAATTGAAACCAAAACTAAAGCTGTTCAGATGCATCCCGCCTATATTCCATCGGACAGCAACTAGAATAAGACATGTTAATGGTCGGTTCAAAATTAATGATAGAATTATCCATTTACTGTTTTTACAACAAAGCCACAATTTGTCACACTGACAAGCGAAGCATATCATAACAGTTCACTGAATCATACGAGAACTAATTGTTTCCTTTCTTTCGTTGACAATAAAAACAGAGAATGACGTAAAGTAAATTTGCCTCAAAATCATAAAAATTTGATCTTTAGAAATTTCTGAAACAGCACACACGTTCGACGACACCGCAAAACGCATTTGACGACTCGAAATCTCGCATCTTGTTGAAAAGTTTCGTAACGCAGGCAATTAGTATGAACATGAATACTGTAAACCCTATCAAGATAAGTGGCAATTATCATACCACATTTATATGCACGACAGGTCTGTGCGGCTGGTATCCCGTCAATTCGTACTCGATGTTGTAGGAGACCAATGTGAAATTGAACACTGGTCCTGTCCACGTGACATTTACAGAGAATCTGCTGGTTCCCAGCTCGCGCTTGAACTCTCCGAACTTTATGTCTTTGATCGCGGTGTCGTGGTAACTCGGGACTGAAATAATTAAAAAACACTATTATTTGGTGGGATAATTCTAAAATTATCACTAGTAATCGCCGCTACCACCAGCGCCTTTGTTTGGAAACTTGGCATATCAACTCCACCCACGCTCCTTCAAATCGTGATGATGGCGGCTTATTACCTAACGCCTATTTACACCTCGTCAGAAAAAGCGGCAGCTAATAAGAGAGCATCTAAAGGGGCCTCCTCTTGCAACGATCAGATCCCCCCTAATGAAGGCACTAGACAAGAGTGTCGTAACGTTGGGTCGATGACATGTGATTTCGGTTACATTCATTAAATCCTTAAACAAGAGTAGCATCAAACCATGTCTGATTGTCCATCTGGTTGCTGTGTGAACTTAAATATAACTATTATGCATTTTGTTTTCACGGATTGTTACTTAAAGAGGACCTAACTGAATCATGATATGAGCTATTTTCGAAATCCTGCAAAATCCCGGTAAACTTGTAGTCGACCACAGCACATCGATTCAGTAAAGCAAATTTGAAAATCAGATCCGTAGGGAAGGGTAATCACAAACCCAAAGGGAAAGCCTGATATTCATGTCCTTGCACAATTAGTCTTTATTCGAGTGCCACGCTCCTAACAAAAGTTTCATATAAATCTTGAGTAATTTCCTATCACCAGTAACTTATCCATTTATCTAGACTTTTCCTTTTTATCCTCACCAGGCGCTGTGATGTTTTGAAACACTTGCACTCCTTTGATCCAGTCGTGTAAGTAATGCGGCGTTACCTAAAGAGAAGTTTAGATAGGATAACTGCTGTATGGATCGTTTAACCCTGAAATTGGAATTGTATTTGAGAGGCATGTCAAATTCTTAACCCCCCTTTCCATCAAAAATACCTGGTTCCACCCATGATAAATAGTCAAATTCGCCTACCCAATATCTGACCAGTGCACCATGCAGTATTCCTGATATGTTAAAGTATGTCTGGTTATTCTGAGAAACAAACGTAGTATAAATATTAGGGTAATGCTAAATAGAATAACAAAAGTTTAAGATTATATTCTTCTCACTTAAAGAATCACGAAATTAGAAAATGTGAAAGAACTAACGTAATCTTATTTTTTGAAAGGTATTGATGATTCCATCAAGAATGGTGTGCGGTTGCTGTAAAGAAGTTAAGCTCTAGATAACTCTAACCTCATGATCCTCAATCATTTGGCCAATCATTTCTTATTAAAAAAGGTAGGAGTTTTTCATGTAATTAAACACAATAATGATAAAAACAACAGCAATGATAATCATAACAACAAGAGATTATAAACTGTTTACAATCTCTTGATAATAATCAATACTTGCATACAAAAACATTTTATGTTGTGGTCTGACGTTTGGCAGACTTCAACACCAATGTAGTCTGGGTCAATCCTTTGTTGGTATTCAGTAATCTTTCGTGTATACGATTCCTTCTTTCTCGTCTCTAAGTTTTCCATATTAATTAGTTCTTATTAACCAAGCGGAAGGTCTGTATGGGAGAATCTTGACCGAGGTCGTCAGTACAGACCGAACGCAGTGAGGTCTGTACCAGCGACCGAGGAATCCATTTAATTTAAAAAAAGAAAAAAGAATACAATTTTTTTTAACCTTAACATATATAAATATAGCATTTTTGCAATTAAAAATCATACCAGTCTACAGACTATGGAATCCATTTAAGTTTAAAAAAAATAAAAACATATTTTTTTTTTAACTGGCAATGTTTTGAAGTTATAAGTCTCCCATACAGACCGACCTAGCTCGGTTAATAAGATGTTTATTATATGGCTGTGTCTTATATGCCAATTTTTTATATTCTTTGTACTTTTTTTTCTAGAACGGTCTAGATGCCGGTCTATATGGGAAAATCTAGACCCTTTTCAATATTGATTTCAGCCAATCAAATTCGTGAATTCGGTAGTTCCCAGTCCTTGTGAGACACAGCGATATAATAATAGTCAATATTGAGGTACCAATTTATGCAAATATCAATCTTCATGTTCTCAATTCAGTTTCTTACCCTCAATTCTTCTGTGCCATTTTTGCTGTCGACCTTGTAACTAAATTTGTAAACAAGCAAACTGTAGTTAAAAATTGGCTTTTCCCATGAAATAAGAACACTGAAACTGCGACCATCTGAAGACTCGGTTAACTGACCAGCGGTCAAATGGGTTACTTTTACTTCGTTTGGATCAACACCTAGTGAAAGGGCAAAGAGAAAAGATAAGATTTGTTACTGCCATTTATTTCATAGTTAGGTCATGCTTCGTCGGTAGGAAACGACTGCAATCGATTAATAAGAATTTGAGAAATGGACAGTAACTATAACTATTGCATTTTTAGAATTAAAAAGCATATTACTTAACGGAATATGGAATCCATTTAATTTAAAAAAAGAAAAAAGAAAACAATTGTTTTTGTAACCTTAACATATAACTATTGCATTTTTGCAATTAAAAATCATACCAGTCTACAGACTATGGAATCCGTTTAAGTTTCAAAAAAATAAACTCATTTTTTTTTAACTGGCAATGTTTTGAAGTTATAAGTCGTTTTAAATAATGTTGACGGGTTTTGTCTGACAATGTCAAATACTTCTCACAGCGTTGGCATTTCTTAACAAAAAAACCCACTCTTAACTCATTTTAATAAAAGTAGTATTGAAAACAATGTCACCACATTCGGACTTCAATAAACACTACTTAAACAACAACAAACATATGAAACATATGAAACATATATGCTTTACTGCGAAGAATCGTTCTCATATACAAAACACTACTTAGTTGTTACTTTTTTCTAATTAAAGCTGGCATGTCAAAAACTTGAATTGATTTGAAATGCCTATAAAAAATGAATTGACTCCATAGATGTCATTCACGTCAAGTCTAATTCCAGTTATTAAATGGACGATAAACACTCGGTCCATGAAAATATTTTCATGATATATTTTCTTCATAATGTTTCTTGCGATAACTTCTAAATTTCTTTTATAAATCAGCAGCTCGATTTTACCGAAATCCAATGACTGAAAGATTAAACATGGAATTGAATTGGAAGAAGAGGTCAGCTAATTGTTAATTTGATCGACACCTGTCTGTCACTAAAAAAGCGATATTCCTTTTTAGTACATGCGCCCTGAAAATCGCTCGAAAAGGAAGTGGCCTTCATTTAAGGTTGCTCGCAGGCAATATTGAAGGAAGGGGTCAATTTATCTCTTACTCTTTTTTAAAACATCTTTTCTTTGTGAATTTTAAAGATGTTGCAAAAAAAAAACTGAAGAAAAGTGATCTACTTTGTGGAATGCGTCACTCGCTAAGGTCTTCATAAGATGTAACGGTACGTAATATCAACCGGTTCGTAAAACACTGTCTTTGAAACGGCTTTTTTAATGATTATGTTGTACTAAAGAGGAGAAATAACAAGAGATTGGGACCACGAAATTTGTGATTTTGAAGCGGCACACGGAGCCAAATGAATCCATCTCGCAAAAAATTGTTGGGTGATAGTCGATTTTTCCTCTGCCTAGCTCGCGATGATATTGAATATAATTATTCCCCAGCAAAACTTATCGCTGATCGGTTGTTTTTCTTATTTAAACAGAAACTAAGATCGTCACAGGTATTTATGTGATAAGTATAACAAAGATGCGATCGTTTACTGACTAATGTGATCATCTTTGCACAATTTTCTTTATTTATTTGAACTCTGTCAATCAGTTTGACATGTTTTAAATTTGTCTAATCATGCGACCACATCAATATTTAGCATCATTAAAATGCTTCATTCATTGGTCGACTGTTCTGGAGAAGTTACAGTCTCGTTCTCTTGGCAACATTTTCCCGGGCTGTAGCAGGCTGCAAGGTAAAAAATAATTATCCACTACCTGAAAGCGGGTTTTTGCAGCAAAAATAGGTTGCTGCAGAAGAAAAATCTCGAGAGACAAAATGCGGAAATAAATTTTCCACCTTAGGTCAAATGAAAAACTTCGCTTGCCAATTGCAAGGGTTTTAAGTTATCCGCTCCGTTCTACTTTCGATCTAAAAATCAAACATGATGTAAAGAAATGCAATTGGCGGATATTTGGCAGAAATTCCAAAGAGCTGGTCAGTAATTATTGCACATGAAAACGTAAATACAAAGATTAAAAATTAAGTTGAACTACACCAAACTGCAGTGACGTTGTCTTAGGAAAAAGCAAAAACAAAATTAAAAAGAGCAAAAATAAACAAATAGTAACTGATTGGCACATAAAGGTACCCCCTGGTGGCATGCCCGGCACCTGAACAATTTTCACTGAATTAATGTTCTACTAAAGACGTCTCGAAAATATCAGGTGTTGTTTAGAGATTTTAAGTGATTCCAAAAATTAAGAAAAAGAAGTCTATAAACTAAAGCCACGTGTTTATGTTATATGCTAGTAGGGTGTCTGTTATTATTGTATGGGAAGTAGCTCTTCAAAATCTCCAATGCCTTTATTTTCTTATTTCTAATTTAAATTATTTAATTTTTTCATCACTAACCCGGAGTAGTAAAATTTGCTTTGCTAAATGTTGACCCAGGCTTTCTATCTTGAAAAAATGAGTAGACCTGAGGAAAATGGCAATGGAAATGAATCAAATAGTTTTATCTTGAGATACAAACCGTAGTAGAAGTAACTTCAATCAAATAATTGAGATGATCAGAAAAAGCTTAACACCATTAGTTCGTGTAGCATGTTTGATGCGATTCGGATGCCTATTACTTAAGTATATACTTTAAAGTTTATGGGTAAAATTTCGATAACACTGACAAATACTGAGCCAAAGTCAAACTCTACGATTTTGGCTTAAAGTCTTCACACGCAAAAATAGAGGAATACACACAGTTTATGGTCTATATGACGAGTGAAGGCAAAAGGTATTCACTGGCTTTGCTTCGAAAATTGGTTGTGGCAGGGTAAGTCTTCCTGACATTCCTTACCTACTGATAATACTTTCGCTTGAACAAAAACTTTTCCAAGTAGAATTTCCACTCACCTGAATTCTGTATGTCGTCCCTGGCAAAAGATCACTTATTGACGCACTATTTGATTTCTACAGTTAAAAAAATAATTTAAATGTTTTCATTAACCTATGTTGAAGTACTTAGTCATTTAAATTATTTGACTCATGGATTCCTGCGCCTTATATAGTTGATCTGGTTGTTATTAGAGAACTTTTAGATTGCGTTTGCAGAAAAATTAAATCCAAAAATATTAAAAAAAGCCAATCGAAGGAAAGGAAATTAGTGTTAAGAAAAAAATGAGAACCAAACGAAAAAAGAGATTTACTCCAATTTTCTGGAACAATCACAGAGCGAAGTATAGCAAAAAAAAAATTTTTTTCCAGATTACTTTCGACATACAATCCATAATTTTCAAATAATCAACAAATGAAAAACTTACAACTGTGTCAAGACCCTTATATGTGAATAACGAATGTTGACTTTGCTTGTACCATATAACCCTGTAGTGAGTTACGTTCTTATATGGGTAAACCGGAGGGTCCCAGGTAAACAACGCAAAAAATCTGTAGTCCGGTGCAGGTGTCATAGGTTCTGCAAGACGGATGTTGGTGGCCATCCTATCCGACAATGGTGCCTCTGGAGGGTCAACTGTGGAGAGTTTATGGTAAAGAAAAACCTAAGTAATAAGAAGCATAGATACTCATCTCTTCTATCTGCATCTTTCAAATAACCTTCTTTGGTATAACGCATGATGATGCGAGGAACGCTTAAATTGATCTCCACAAATTTGCAGAGCAGATTTCTCACAGCCAATATTTCCGGTCGATCAAAATCAGTGTAATTCCATGACGAAAGGGGAGGAGGATTTTTTTTTTTTTTTCTTAGGCGAGGAGGATACAGGAGGATACAGGAGGAGGATACAGGAGGAGGATACAGGAGGAGGATAGGCGAGGAGGAGGATACAGCACCAACTTTCTATCACTGCATATAGAAATCAAGGAAAATGTTTACTACTCTTCATCGATTAACAAATAGCCCGGTTCGAACAGCAGCAGCCATTTTGAAAGAATAACTTGGTAACCTGAGGTCCCAAAAGAAACCAAACGATTCCCATGGACTGCTGCACTGGAGATCGCGTTGGGAAAAATCAGAGTAATACTTACTCATGTCATAAAAAATGAGTGGTTCGTTTCCGAGAAGGATTCAAAATGGCGGCATTGGTACATTTGAAGACAATTGTGAAAAAATTATGAGTGACTAAATTGACGAGAAAACTCACATTTGTAGCAGTAGTCTTTAGGAAAACTTGTGATATTTTGACAACCTGTAAATGACATCAAAAATTTATTACAATCCCATTCAGCTTATTTCTGGTTATATTTCAGATGATATATGCGATTAATTTACCTGGATAAGTGTATCTTATAGTTGTTGGAACGCTCACACTGCAGCCAATGATGGTAAAGACCTTCAAAACAGGAAAATGATTAAAGTTGAAAATTAAATATGAAAACTTTCGAACTGAGAACAGCCGTAGCTTTGAATAAAATGATGTCTATCTTCGTTTAAAGAAGATGATAACGAAGGTGACGACTTTCTGTCTTTATCGATATAAAAATGTTGTGTTAACACCGTAAAATACCGTGGCCCATAGAGGGCACGTTATCCGATTTTTAAATTCAATTTTATCGCGTGATAAATAAGATTTATCGCGTTATGAAATCAAAATATCGTGCGATAAATGAAAAATTATCGCGCCATTGACAATTGGAGAACTTGTATTTGTAAGGTCGCACGTGATCGGCTGTCACGCACGTTGTTTCCGTGGACGAGACGACTATGGCTGCAACAGTTGAGGAAGTATGTTCTGAGGTCAATACTTCGTTTTATCTTCGTGAAAAGATCATTGAGCTATACTTTGCAATACTTCTACGACACATAACCCTGTGAATCAAAACAGGTAAACTTGATTTTGCGAAATCTCATGGGACACTTTCATGGATGGCGCATCATTGCAATTTAATTTTTCTCATCCGAATGAGATTCGTCGCACTCAGGAAATGTGATTCGTAGAATTCCACAAAATGAGCGTCTTTGTCTCGATTAGACGTTACAGTGCGTTCTTTCTTACCTCAAGCTTGTGGGCACATTTCATTAATTCTTCATACAAGGACATAGTATATCGCGTCTGAAGCTGTGAAAAATGGATATCAAAGGGCTCACTTTTAATATTTTTAACACGTTTCTCACAGATTAAGGGTGCTCTGCGACGAGAGCTGCCCTTAGCTCTTTATGGTGACCGTGACATTATTATCATAGGTCTTAAAATTAAAATCGTCATTATTACCAAATCATTTGCGTATTAATCTTCATCATTATTGCAAAAAATATATTAATCGAGAAATTTTGGTTTAAATTTGGAAAAAAATGCTATTATAATTCGTAG